TTAGACTCAAAAACAAGTTCCAGCTTAGTCTAGTCCTCTCCTCTTACTCAGTGGCTCTTCCTGTTCCTTTTACTTCTCTATCTCTCTCTCATTCTATTTAGAAGCCAGAGATAGTTATTACTTAGTTTTCTACATTCATTTCTCTTATTCAAGATGTTGTTTGTTTTGTTAATTTCAATCAACTCCCTGATCGTTCGCTTAGCTGTGAAGTCCCCATATCCGGCAAAAGGTAAGTATTTAGACCACTCTATCTGGTGTCCTGTAGCGATCGCATGTTCAACCACTTTCAATTTCTCTCGAATATCTAATGTAAATCGTCAACACTGTGACCGTGAATACGAACCTTTAAAATATATCTACTAACGTTTATCCATGAACTCAAGGATAACCCTGCCGATTACACTTAGAGGAGATCTAGCTAGCTGAGAAAAGGCAAGGTTTTTCTTCATTCGGATGCTGGCAACAAACTGTCAACACTGTAGCTACAATATATAAAGCAAAATCATTTTTTTAAAGTCTTCTTTAATGAACACACAAGATAAATCAGAGATATTAAGTGTAACGGCAATAAAGAAAAGTTTAGGGACATTTTGGCATGATATATAAACGATTTATATAGCACCGACAACAGGAAAGGATGCATTAGTAGAATTTATCCACAAAATACTCACCTCCAGCATGTAAGTCACTATTGATTTGCGTGAAAGCTCTATGGGCTGGCACTTCGGACGGAAAGTAAGGAAGATACTTCCCAAGAAGTCGGTTAGGCAGCTTACAAGCCTGATACTCTCCTCTTAACCAATGTGATCGAAGTAAGGATGGCGGTATTCTGCCAAAAAACAGGTTTTCAGGGTCAGATACCGCTAAAGTGCTGGGACCCAGGCTAAAACTGCCATGACCTGAATTCTTTATTAAGTTAAGCATGCTGGAACTGCCCTGCAAGATAAGATAAAATAGGGAATAAAGAGTAATAAAATAAAGTTACTTATTGATGCCTTTTTAAACAAGCCTAATTTGAAGTATTCAAAAAGTGTAACCATGCATATTTTAACAACCATCCATTTTTGGAGATACGTCTTTCAACTATACTAGGGAATAGGCATCGATTGTGAAAAAAATTACTGAAATGAAGACTAATCATTAGGCTTTGATAAAAATTAGGTTCCTCGAAAATGAGGTAGATCGTTGAGTTTCCAAGCCCCAGAATGTAAGATTTGTATGCTTTTTCACTTGTTTCGAAAAAACGAAAAAAAGCTTTTAGTCATGCAATTACAACCGAATGGGGGAATTCACTCAAGCCTTGTATGCATTCATGAGCTCATTGCCATT